TGCCTGACACGGGTTGACAGCGTCACGAGAATCTTAACGTACTCATTCAAAGGATAATTTCATAAGCCAACCACCGGTATGAGTTTTTCGCGTGCGGCCAAATATGGTAAATGAACGGACGAAAGCAGTACAATCGAATTTAACACAAAAAAAAATCCCGTGATGATGGGCATGAATGCATTTTACTGCCACGAATTCCAAATTCTATAACTTTTATCAAGGCTAATAGCAATCAAGTCAATTTAGATATGTCGCAATTAACTCGAGAAGTTTTTTTTCAAAAGCAGCAATATGAAAACGCATAAAGAAACAAAGGGAGAGTCAATTTTTATTAAATGGCTAACACTTCGCAAATATAACTTCAAGTGCTGCTAATACAAGCCGATAATGTCAACGGGTCTAAAAGCAATATACAAATATTTAGTGATGAAAAAAAGGCTTTCGTCAGTAAAAAAAATCCAAGGAAGAAACTTGTAAATTAAAGATCAATCCTTTTCTTAGGGATGAAACGTAAACGCTATACTACAAAATAATAGGGTCAGGACTACATTAGCGTATATTTATCATCCATTAGCATACGGAATGGCCAGGGCTGAATGTAATAAACAAACTGGATCGTTTACAAGGAACGGAATTTCAAGGTTAAAAGACTTTTTGAACATTATATACAGGCCTTGTTTCATAGTGGAATAGTAAAACCAACATAAAGTTAATAGATAACGGTTTAAATAAGGTAACCGTTTAAATCTCAACGTACAATGTAATGAATAACGCTAAAACAGAATTTTTTGTTTGTTAATGACTTGATATGATAAATACGAACAACGCCTGTGAACGGATTCAAGGGCAGAAAATTAATGAGCCAACTTAGCAAGGGGAAAAAAAAAATTGTCAAGAAGGCCTTTTGAAAATAAAGTCGTAACTACCGGTCAAAAAGTAAATCTCGACAGAATTTATAAATTGATTTGAAAAGTCTCACGGAGGAAACTTTTTTTTAGGTCGGGTTCAATATACGACCATTTGTGTAAACAATGGCCGTCTCGATTCAAGGATTTCAGCCGCGGAGTGCCGTGTTGATCTCCACAACAAAAGTCTACCGAAAAGTCATTAACATGCAGATAAGCCCTTGGGATCATTGCTTTTGGGATGAGGGACGGTTACAGATCCGGTCTTTCGAAATAATTAAAATTCAAATCAAAACTAAACCGGTGTAAAATCTAAAATCGACCTCCAAATTATAATTTTTTCCCATTCAATTTTTTTCCTCCTTTATTGCACATTTGCAATACCTCATTGCGAGGACAAAAATAATCCACTAATCCGCCGAGTAAGTCATTTATTTGCAACCTGGCCACTCGTCTGCTGACACGACAGCCCTGCCTGTGGGAATGCTGACGGACGGTGTCAATTACTGCAGGCTTATCTATATAAATAAACTTGTGTTGAACTGAGTGTCAATCATTGCAATCGTTGGAACAAAGAACACCGCCGTCCGAAAAAATACCAAAAAAATCATTTTGGTTCATCTTTGCCACAACATGAACTCAACATTTTTCGAAAATGATTGGCTTAATTTGAGTTAAATTTCAACAAATGAAAATGTGAACACAACTCATAAACCCTTCCCTTAAGCGTGTTTATATCTTTTTTGGAGTTTATATAATTAAATTTATAATTAAAATGGTTTTAACAGCTAAGATTAATTGGGGCCAAATTATAATTACAGTCATATGGTCGCAAACGTCTGAAATATAACCGTTGACCGTACACCGAGTTCTTTATGGTTATGATGAAAGTACAAAGCAAATAGAATTGTTTAAGAAGGAGGATTGCTGAGACACGAAATTGTTTATAAAAAAGAGGATTGCTGAGCCAAGAAATTGTTTATAACAAAGAATAAAATTATAGGAAAGATTTGATTTTGCACTGACCGACGAAATAAGTATGTCGCCTTACATCAGCAAAATGCCCAAAAGTTACACAAACGCCAATCCAAAGACATTTTATTTGTACATTGAATGTAAACAGCTGTCGATTGAGAGAATTGACGAATGAGACTCTAAACCGGCCAATTCCAATTAAAATAAAATATACATACATGGTATATGAACAACTGAATTTTTTTTAAATGCCGGAATGTCCATAAAACAATACGGTATCGGCCAGGATAAACGTATTATCTTGACTGATTCGCAATCAAATAATCAAATTCAATTCAGAGATCTTCATTATAGGTCATTGTCAACATGAGGTGTCCGTTTCCAAGGTAACACTGAGCTTGTAATTAATGCAATGTTGAGGTCATGAATCATCGTGAATTAGAACCAAATTCGACTAATTTGCCAGGACGTGTTTTATTTTAAATTTACGCACTTTATCGTTTCGTGGGAAAAGGTTAACAGTGTAGTTTTTGTTAATAAAAGTGGCCTACTGTAAATATCCCTTTTAAAAGACTTTATTACTTAAGGTACGTGGTAAGCATCTTTGGGAAAGTGTATCAAAGTAAATCTTAAAAATATCTTTGAGGGATTATTTAAAAAAATAATTGGACGTGTCTGGCTAATATTTTCCATCAAATTTTGAACACCAAACAAAAATCTTCCGTGGATAACCCTAAGCTCATTTATCTAATTATCAAATATCACTAGAGGCAATGTTTACCTTTTATATTTTAACAAATTAACACCATTCTTGTTGACAAAATCTTAATTTAGTTTGCACACAGGCTTAAAATTCATATTATATAGTTAATTGGAAATGCTAAAAACAGATTGCCTTCTCAATCCTTTAAACGAGAAGAGTTGTACTTTTATAAATGCGTTCTAGAGCGTACAAACATTAAATTAACCAACTTCACTATGCAAAGATGACTATACTGAACGTATTGCACGACAAAAACATTGTACAATCACAGAACTTTCATATGTTTATGCACTACGCCTAATGGCTAGCTTTTTCATTAAGGCTAGATATCACTGAACGGCGTATTCAACGAGCAGATTGTTTTAGGTTTTTCGATTAAATTCCCATATCTGGACATGATCAAAACACGCGTTCGAAGGATCGACCACCGTGTCCCGTCAAAAAAGACGAGAGAGCAATTGATGTTAAACATCGTTAGCGGAGTTCTCAAATATGTCTTTCCCCGGTTGTTTTTTAAACAAATTGAACAACTGTCCTGTTTCAACCTACGGTCTCCTCTTTGAACGGGTTAATTACTCGGAGGACCTTCTACTTAGTGCTTTTACCCACTTTGTGTGGGAGTCCTAATTGCGGATTTAAGAGTTCAAAAATTCCCCAGGGGTTTTTCCTTTCTTTCGTAGAAGGTTAATACACTTACGACGTCCCCGAGGTGATTTTCATGTGGGGGGGGGGCACGGCCAAGACACGATCGGGCCGATAGTTTATCTTATAGACGGCCAGATCTATTTCGCTTCGTGTCTCTCTGAACTATTCGGCCAAATAATTCAGAATTTGACGATTACGAAAGAAAAGAGAGCCGGTTACGATTAGATTTTCCACTGACGCCAATCCAATATTTTCCTTTCTGCAGCAAAACAAAAATTTAATTTCTTCGTAACAAATCACGTCAAAAGAGACTTTGTTTCTGAGAAAATCAAATTCATAAATAAACTTGCACTATTTAGAAAACGGAACATGCTAAGATTTAAAACGTAATTATTACGGAGAATATGACTTATTACATCAAAAAGTGATCGGAAGTTCTATCCTTTAGAGGAAAGACCTACACTGCTATACTGTTACTACTAACTACTTTTTTTAAATTTTTATTATTTGTAGCCACTATGTTTAGTGGTTAAACATTTTTTCAATATTACAAATGTGATCACAGTACGTTTTGTCACACGGCCACAGCACACTTATGCCGTTGCCTACACCCGGAGTACACATGCAGTGAGAACCCAATGCTGGCACACTCAGTGTGAGGGTAATGAGGCAAGGAGGGCTCGAGGCCACGGTCGATTAAGGCGACATATCGTGTTCTCGAGATGAGATGTGTACAGAGTGCTAGGGCAGTAGTATTACGATGTATCAAGACAGTGGTGTGAAACTTTTGGTATCGGAATCGGATGAGTTCGTTGACAAAAGGAATTTTGAGGTTGTTGTGGATAGTGCGGTTGGTCATATAAGGAGCTTTGAAGATTTGTCGATGCACTTTGTTTGGAAGGATTGGATGCGCTGGATGTTGGATGGGTTAGCAGAACCACATAGTTCTACTACACGTGTCCAACGTGGTGCAGTAGTCTTGTATAAGGTTATTTTACTATTGACAGTCAACACGGATTTCGGTACTAGAAGTCTACGTAATTGTTCACGTCTTCAAGTTGTCTCGTGTCAGTTTTTTTCTCATACCCGACAAAAAGGAAATGGTGATGTTTCGATAAATTTCAAAAACGCCCTAAAGGGTTAGTTGATAGAGAAGGTCGGTTACAAATTGTAAGCAACAACCACTCTGTTTTTACTCCTCCCATCAATTCCACATTTCAATTATCAAGTGGATGGGAATGTTTTTACCTTTAGCGAAACCCACAGGTAACAGTAGATTCATCCTGGGGGCGTGTTTCGCCCTATACGTTACCGTTTTATACCATCCATAAAAATTGTGAATACGTTGAATTGTGAAAACAAATACTGTTCCAACATTCAATGGTTGAACTGAAAAAATACACTTATTTTTTTATTTTCTGTCCTATCCAGTCATGAAAAACTTTAATCTTTGTAGCCTTCGTGAAAAACATCAGCATAACCAAACTGCAGTTCTATTTTACTGGTGTTAAAGCACTATTCTAGACAATGAGAATTAATTTAAAAGACAAAAATAGACAGACAAATAATATTATCATTTTTAGTTGAATTAACTGGATGATTTTTTATAGAATCTTCCCGACGTATTGCTATATCGTTGTCATTACACGAGAAGGATTGATGAGGGGATTAGAAATAAGCAGTACTATAAACTGAAAAGGTAAATCCCGTACCATAGCTTCCTTGAGTTGTTTTGGGCAGATGGGGCTGAGCCACGAGTGGATGTTGATAAACCTCTTTGGGAGGAGTTTCATAGTAGTCCTTGTGTGGGTGAGAACAGGTATAGCACTATTAGAACTGTCTATCGTAGGGCTGTTAGGAGGATCCAGAAGGCCTACGCCCGTGCTGACAGCGGGCTGCGGGCTTTCCAGCACTACCATCGTCGCACTCTCACTATCTTCACATCACAAACACACGCACTCGGTCACGGCAGGAAGATCTACTGCACGAAGCATTCAGCACGGCCCACGGGTTGAGACTGAACCAGGAGAGGCGGCCGGTCTCGGGTGGGGGTAGAAACCCCTCCCGGACCCGCGGACGGCCTCGCAATACGACAGTACCACGGCTTGTACCCCTTATCAGCTCTCGTCCAAAACAACCCCTTCGTCAAAGAAACAAGCCAAAGGTCATTTTACTGTTCCGGCGGTTCTATACGATTGGAAAATTCCAGCAAGCTAAGTTAAGAACGACCCGAAATAACTTTTCTCATTTGTTATATATTTCCCATCCATTCAAACTTTACTTCTATGAACGAAAACACCTAAAAGCAGCTTCTACGCTCTTTTGGTATAGAATAATTATCTGCAGTCCACAAACGGAAAAATATTTATAGTGCCAGTCAATTGTATACAACCTACAGCAATCGTACATCCCAAAAAACCCGATTCGATTTTAAAAATTGTTATGTTAGTCCTTTTCCAAAATAACTTAACTTTAATAATCGATATGTACTTTTTTAACAAAGACAACAACAAAGTAATTAAAGGTGTCCCAGATGATCGAAGTCACGATCGCTCAGGTGGTTAGAGCAGCGGTTTATTGAACCGAAGGTCGAATGTTCGAGTCCCGGTCATGACACTACTTTTTCATCTCAGCCAGCCACACTTAAAACAAGAATTGTAAATCATTTTACTTAATATACTTGGTTTATACTTCAATTGGAGTTTTAGTTTTCAAACGATATGCCATAAAACAACCAGACCACCGGTGATGCTTCGAAAATCCCCAGTTTACCGAAGGGACCCACATTTTCTGAGCTCATCCCTTACTACTATCCGTATGAGTACAATGGCATGGCGTTAGATGATGATTTGCAATGGATAACACGCAAGCGACAACGCTAAACGGGAGTATGCTGGCATTCATTAGCCGAGGGCGGCTTAGCCACACTCTTTGACCAGTTGCAAGCGATCTATACCGGCAGGTGTTCAATCCCACATGGACGATCAGCTCTGGGCCTGTTCAAAGCAAGACTGAACCCAAGCTTGCACGACTATTAGAAATGTAGCTGTCAAAAGTTGTTTTAATTTTTATCAAATAAAGAAAATTTATTAGTAAAGTAATATTTATCTTTGCCTAAAATAAGCGCTTTTATTCCGCTGATATAACAAGTATTTCAAGGGATAAGAGTCTTGGAAGGCAATTTCAACTTCCCCTCGTTCTCTAAAAATTTTGACCCTTAAAAAGTGATCAAAATGCCTCAAAGGTGGAAGGAAGTCTATAGGCGAGAGGTCGGGTGAATATGGAGAGTGCGGTAAGGTTTCATATCCTAAGTCCTTTCCAGTTCAAGTTTCCAGGACTGGCATTGCGACATGTGACCTGGCGTTATCGTCAAGAATCGGCCCTTACGCTTTACCGATGCTGGACGAAGGCGTTGCAGTTTCCCGTGCATTTTGCCAATTTCTTAGCAATATTTTCTGTGCTGTGATAGTTCACTATAATTCTGATAGTTCAGGAAATAATACTAAACAACCCCAGCAGTACACCACCAGACAGTCATTATAACCTTTTTTGGGTGCACATTTAGTTTAGGGAATTATTTTGGCGTTTCATCCTTGACCGACCACTGTTCTGCACGCCTCCTGTTATGTACAGAATTCATTTCTGATCGCACGTGATGATTCGATCGAGAAATGGATCATTTTGGTGGCGCAACAGACGTGCTAATATCACAAAGCTTCGATTTCTTTGGGCTTCGCTTAGTTCGGTGCAATACTCACTTCTTGAGCTTCTTTACCAAATTGCTTCAGATGGGGAACAACGGTTTAGTGATCAACATTAAGCTCGTCCACAACGGAATGCCTACAGCGACCTTCCCTGTCTTCGAGATCAAAATGTCCAAGACGAAATCCCTGAAACCATCGTGCATTCGCTAATGATTCCCTCCCCCCAAACTGTAATGATGATATGCGCGGGTTAGGCCGCACATCGTCCAAGTTTAAATTTGTACAAATAAATTTGATTAAAATTTAGTTTGGACATATTTCATCTCAAAGGTCCTCACTCTTAAAAAATTCAATGTAACCTAAAATGTTTTGTGTAAAAGATAACAGTTTAAAATATTTATTATATTCGAGAAATTAGTTTTGAGGATTTAGCTTTGTTTACGTGAGAAGCGACTGCGGAAATAAAACACATTTTCAATACGTGCATTAATACCACACAATACACCAACCCATTAAAAAAAGTCCGCGTGAGCCAGGAGAAGCCGAAGCTCGATGTCCATCGTCAAACCACGTTGATCTTATCAGGCGTTGCCTCTAGCTCAGGGGGTAAAAGGAAAACAACAACAACAAGTGGAACCAGAAACTATCAGTAAAAACTGAACCGACTTTGCAACCAATGTTTTGTTTGTTAAGCCACAAATAGGATTTGAAAAATAATATCCTTCACAATAAAAATTAGGCATTTTAACTAAAAACATATTATGTTGTTATGTTTTTGTTTTTTCGTCGGAGTGAAGAAACGCGTTTAAAAAAGATTAAAACTCCACAAAAGACCAAAAGACAATTTATACAAAAACAACGTTAATTTTACCGGTATTGTTCTAAAATAACAAGCCCCCAGGCGCGGGCAGGGCTTTTGGAGAATAACACACAGCTCTTCTCCGTATTATTTCAATGCAATTAGGCCAGAAAGGAATAACGATTCACGAGGACCATACAAGGTAAGTTTAAGTGTTGCCCGCGTTTATTTTGGTAATTAAAACCTTTTTAACAGCCGATGACAACGGCCTGGGGGAAGCACCCTACGGCGGAAAAGTGAAAAAGACCAGGAAGGCGTCTAGCTTATTTTGACCTTTATCCCACTAATAAACTCGGAAAGGTCGCCCTTTCATAATTATCTCCTAGTACATCGTCTACCAGGTCAGACCGACATTAAATTTCAATCAAGGTTTGTAAATATCAACCAACACTTTTATCACTTTTTTTAACAAAGAATTTTGATTAAATTTTTACATTAACCCCTACCCTCGCCCTTACACAACATATAAACAATATTTGAACATTTATTTTACAGTATGTTGTGAGAGAATACAAATGAGAACATGAGAACTCAACACACCATTCTGTTGCAAGTTTTATCATCACTCGTACAGAGTGGATTTTACACAATTTACAACTTTTATCGATAAGCATCGATTTAAAAAAAAAAAATATGTCTTGCACCACAGGTTAATGTTAAAAGGCTGAAATTTGTTAGAGAAACGGGAAAACTCTAAAGTTAAATGTTATTATTGGTATGTTATTTGGATTTGCTGAGACATTCCACGTTTACACAAAAATGGCCGGTCATGGCTGGTCATCTCTATCCATTTCAAACCCCTGAGGATGGAACTTGAAACCAGAGTTGAACGCGAGAAGACACAAAGGCTTGAGAAAATCGAGAAAGAAGAACGCTCAGATCGAAACATTGCGAAAAAGGGCGGACCGGGTGATCAATCAGCGCGTAGCCGTTACTCCTTTCATTCTCTATTGTCATTTTATATGATTTTCGTTTTTTAAAGTCAATATAACATAGAAAAGGTCAATTTTTTAAAATAAACCAATAAACGAAAAATAGCGCGAAATGTGACCTATTTGAACAATAAATTGGCTATGTCTAGTTTTTCACATAGTTTCACATGTTTGCTAACTGATGAAAAGCATCCATCCATAAACAGAGGGTATTTTACTAACCTTTCAGGCCCTGTGAACGTGCAGGGTTGGCATTTGATCGTTCGCTCCCTCCCGAGTGACATTTGGCTCAAAGGGCGTACTGGCCCTTTCAAACTGTTAAGCAAATTGACTCGGCTTATACGCTACCAATTAGACAGACAAGAAAGGGAATTGAAAACTTATGTCCACCCGATTAATGTCTTACAAAGGGGAGAATAAACAATTAGCCTGGTAAATACCAACTCATAAATGATAAAATATTAAATTAAAACAACACATTACCTAACAAGCAAACTGATATAAGCAAGAAATAAAAAGAAAGAAACAATTGTCACTAATAACATGAAACAACCAAGTTTAACCACTTTTCCAAATACCCGTCCTATCATTCATATAAATTATTTCACATTCCAATAATACAAACTTCGTACGCCTACGTAAACAAGAGGGGGATTTTTGTGTGTGTGTGGAATAATACAATATTTGTAATTTGTATGAATAGTCTCTTCAAGTGAATATACACTTGTAAATATGAACGCAAATGAGAGTTTAATTTTCCTATACATCATAACCAACATGGGACACAACGATCCATCATACAACTTAATTAGTATTTAACTATTGCCATTAATCGAAGACAACTTAATTAAAATGTTAATTTATAAGAACTTTATTGTGTTATCTTGATAATATTGTTATTCTTATTATATTCTATAGGTTGTTATTAAAATTTATTTTTTTCTTTCGACTACAGACGGAGACAACCAAAAACACACTTTCGTAAAAAGTAGTCTTTATTTACAAGTATCGATTTCGGGGTGGCGTCCCCCCCCATCAGTTGTAATGACTTAAAAATACAAAAAAACCATCAAAATATATCATATTAAACAAATGTTAACATTAAAAAACAATTTTTATTAGCTTCGACTGATCTGATTTCCACCACGACAAATTGGCGAAGAAAACGCTTGATGCTGGCGTGGTCCACTTTGTTAGTGGTGTATAGGTATTTGGTAAATAGCACGATGACGAGAAACCATGGTTTTTTTAAGCAAATTTTTCCGTAACTAAAATAACCTTCAATTTCATAATATTGTGCATTAAATTCTAACAATTTCCGTCCCGCAAGTGCTAATTTAACGTCGCAGCAGGTTAGCGGGAGTGGAGATTTAAGGACGAAAGGGTAACACAAATCTGAATTTTCACCGCCCAAACTTCAATTATTACTTATTTAACTCACAAAGTCCTAAACCGGTAGATTTATTATTAATAAGATGGTTCGTGAAGGCTTACGTGCTCTTATCGATTTGCGCCTTTAATGACACGATTATTATGGAGATGTAAGGTTTAATTATATTTCAGAACGTCAATGCATAGCGTAAAGTTTTCAGCGTCGTCAAAGGCGTTCGTGAACGAGCTCTCGGTTGTGTCAAGTAATTGCTATAACTGTCCTGGGTCGGGGATAACGGTACATCTACCTTACGGTACAAATGAAGACCCAAACATGCGATTAAAGAGAAAAAAACCGGTTTTGTCGTTCTGGATATCCCACTTCAACGAATAGGATCCCTTATCGATTGGAATTAATGTTAAAACATAAAATGTAACGTTCCTTTAACAGACATGACATCTTAGCTCGGCTGACAACCCTTTTGTTTTTGTTACTTGCTGAAAGTAATTCGAGCTGTGACTCCTTACCTTTTACTCTTGAAAAATACGTCCAAGTTAGAATGTCAAGTAGAAAACCACCACTCTAGCCTCTCTTTCACTGTTTTGAATATTTCAAAACCATTTCTGAAATAAATTCTCCCTGGTATTTGTGTTCGCCTT